CTCAGATTCCTTTGGTGGTATCTAAAAATCTAGTGATTTTCAGAATCATATTTTTGACATCACAAATTCCAATTAACACCTATAATTTACCCACTTAAAAATTTACTTAAAGTACACAGTGAATTTTCACTATTTAACTAAAGATAAGATTTATGTTCTAAAAAAGGGCAAATGAAACATTCTTTGGGTGTGGTTTGTGACAGGAGATTAGGGTGGAACCCAGAATTATTTAGGAAATTATAGCTTGAGAAAATTTAAGAGGGTTTAAAATAGAGAATTTATAAGGAAGAAAAGTGTGTCTGTTTTTTTGTTTGTTTGTTTGTTTTCTGTTCCCAAAGAATTGCTTGGGGCTGTCTAGATTCAAAGAAGAAAGGATTCCATTACTTTTAAGTATTGCAAAAAGCTCCCAGGCCATTCTTGTCAAAAGATAGAAGAAATATTGTAGAATTTCTTACTATGACAGCAAGTTATAGCGGGGACTGTTGAAACTAGGGCTGACAGATTTTATCTAATTTTAATAGGCATGTGTAGGTATTGCCAAATTCTTAACTTTCTAAATGATGTCATCTTTCCCACAAATTTCTTAAATGATGCCTTAGCAAACAAGCATTTCTATTCTAATAATGTCTGAGTAAAATGTTGAATCACTCAAAGGATACAGATAGAGAGAGGGGAAAAAAAATAAATGCCATGTGGGAGGGGCAGAGCTTTATAAAACCAGTCATTGCCATGTCTGAACTCTAACAACGCTCAGAAGTCCTTTTCCTGTCAGGCAGAGAAGAACCAGGTATTTCAGTCATTTCCATATCTCTATCTATGAAATAGGGTTTTATTTTGCATATTGGTATTATTAATATAATGGAAATTAAACTGTGGGATGTTTTCAGAGAATGAGTAAAAATTTAATGGTGTTTTCTTGTTTAGTTGCTTGAGAATATTTTGGTTCAAGATTTGAATTAAATTAAGTTAGACCTAACCTTAAATCTCAGAGGCCAGCAAATGCCTATGTAACATTCATCAAACCAAAATGTACGTTCTGGTTGTGATGTCAGTTTTACCAAACAGCTCAGAATGTGTGTCTCCTTTACTGGTTAGTGTTTGGCACTGAGTTTAATGAAAATAACTAGACCAATAAAAAGAATTATTTTAGTAACTGAAAGTAATTTATAAATTGTGTATAAATATGATAAAAACAAAAAGAGGACTCAGTTTTCATCTTAAACAACCAGAAATTAAGCAAAAAGCTGAGTGGTTCAATTCAATACTAGAATATACTTACTGAATTTAGTTTGATAATTGGTCAATTTAGTGAAAGAGAAAGAACAGCCCAGTTAGTTGATGGATTGGCTGAAGTAATAGTTCAAGAAATAATTCAATATCCCATAAACAAATAACTTTATTATGAAAGAAATCAAATACAGAAAAGGTTTTTAATTTTGTGGGGGTAAAACCTGGTAATTTGGAATGGGAAATTTCCTTGAAGTATTGTTTTCTCTGTGTCATTAATTTTTCTGGTCAATTTCAAAATATTTACACTGTGTTGCTGCAAAAAAATTCATTTAAAAATGCTGCAGCAAACGCAAATCTAACGTTCGATGCCAGTGAGCAGAAGGACTGTGGCTGTGGGTCTGAGCGCTTCGTCACCTGCGCCGTTTCAGTGGTACATTTGTCCACTTGTGCTGCAGGAACCAACACAAACATCTCAGGGACCAGCCTCACATACGCTTTGCATCCGCTTGCTCTTCTAAAGATGATATTCAACATTAGTTAGGAGTATAACACCTAGAAATCATTGAAGTTGTGTAGCTCGCTCTAGTGTTAAGAAATTCACAACAGGTGTTTCCTGTTCTGAGAGATTCTGATGTCACTTAGTGATTTCAATTTCACGTGGTCTTAGGCAGATTCCCATTTAAATGCAGGATGGACATGTGGTAGAGTCAGAAGACACACACACACACACACATATATATATATATATATATATGGAGAATCCCAGGGACGGAGGAGCCTGATGGGCTGCCATCTATGGGGTCACACAGAGTCGGACACGACTGAAGCGACTTAGCAGCAGCAGCAGCATATAATATATATTCATAGATTTCTACAAATATAAACTTCTCAAACCTTATTTGAAAAGTCTGTAGGAACAGCACTAGAGCTGGAATCAGAAGCTAGTCTTGGCTTTGAAACTAGCTGTGCTATGGACATCTTCATATTCTCATTGGTATAACAGGAATTACTAGCTTTACCAGACAAGTAATTATGCAAATTAAATAAAACAGTGAGGCTGAAGGAATTTGGTAACTGTGATGTAGACATAACACATTTTTTATGTTGAAGTTAATTGCACCTATCTGAAAGATAAACTTGAATGTTTTTAAAACAAGTAAATACATCTGGGGTGATTTAATTCTGTCCTTACTCACTTTTAATTTTTTTTAAAAAAATAGTCACAGTCAACTGAAACTCTAACTTGGCATTAAAAGCCCTCACTGTTAGATTGTCTTGACACTTAAATTTTGTTAGTGTCAAAGTGACTGTCTATTCAGGTCATTATAAAGAATTGGATATAGGAGAGGCTTATATTAATTAATTAATTGGTCACATGGTGCAGACTGTGGGATCTTAGTTCCCTGACTAGGGATCGAGCCCATGCACTCAGCAATAAAAGTTCAGAGTCTTAGCCACTGAACCACTAGGGAATTCCCAGGCTTAAGTTTATTTTTCTAGCTCTGATTATCTTTTCATACACAACAGAGAAATATTTATGCTATTAATTCTCTGTTTCTGAAATGTTTTTGAGACAATTTACAGAGAAAGGATCTACCCAGGAATAATTCATTATAAAGATGATTTTAAAATATAGAAGGAAGAGAAAAAAATTTCTGTCACCCAGGTTAATCTAATCTCAGAAATGAAGCAAGCAAAAAAGAAACTGTTTTTTAAAACCCTAATAAACCTTCTAGGAGTATTAAAAACTGGCTTCCTTCTTCTTTTTACTTCCTCTTTCTAGTATTTCTCAAACCAGTAGCTGGCTAAAACTCTTACACATCGTAGTTAAACATCAGCAGGTGAAGTGTAAGTGACATTGGACAGAGTGGGTTTCTGAAGCTTGAATCCTAGGCTTGAATCCCTGCACCATTACATACAAACTCTGTGACCTTTTATAAGTTACTTAACCTCTCTGGGCATCAGGATGTAACCTATAGAATAAAGATCACAATATGTACCTCACACTGGTCCTGTGAATATAAAATATTAAAGGAGACAAGAAGACGTGAGAGAGTTTCAGGGACAAGTTCTATTTAATCTATTATTTTGTCTTGATTAAATAAAATTGGGTGGTAACTCACATGAGAAATTTTGATACAAATGGCAATCACTTTGTTCACAAGAAATGTTCATGAACGGAATGTTCACATAAGACACCCATGGACTAGGGAGCCATGAGCCTGGAGGCGCTGCTGAGGGAGCCCAAAGCTATAGAGGGCCTCCTCCAGGGCCTCCCCCAGAGGCTCCCCAGCCAGTGTCCCCAGAAGGCTTCCTGTGGAGTGATGAGTGTCAGCGTCGCTTGGTATATTTATAGATTTTGCTAAGTGCAGGGTGTGTTTGAAGCCATTATGAAAGCATAAGATAGAATCTGTTGGCTAGAACCAGCAGGTACCCGCCCACACCCAGGTGTGTCCAAGCGTTTGACTGCATGTGAGTCGTAAGTCATGGAAAGTGTGTCTGTCATTTGTCTTCAGATGGTGGATGGTGTGTGTGTGTGTGTGTGTGTGTGTGTGTGTGTGAGCTCCATATATCCAGGATGACCCCTGCAGGGTGACCTGGTGCTGACTGCCCTGCTAGGGGTGGTTGGAGGAGGGGGCCTTTCCAGCACTCCCAGTAACGAACTGCTCTGCCCAGGGGAGCTTTGGAAGAAAGGCTGTGGTGCGTGAGTGGAGGGGGCCCAGGAATGAGAGATAGGGCGGTGTGAAATGCCCACTCTCAAAAGGTGAGTCTAGGTCACTTCTAGAAAGGAGTTTGACCATCTCCACTGGGGCCAACAAGATCGTGTGTGCACATGGCATGTATTTAAATATGTGTGTATTTGCCTCTAGTATGTGTGATGGTGATGGTTTAGTCACTAGGTCATGTCCACAGATTCTTGTGACCCTGTGGACTGTAGCCCACCAGGCTCCTCTGTCCATGGGATTTCCCAGGCAAGAACACTGGAGTGGGTTGCCATTTCCTTCTCCAGGGGATCTTCCTGACCTGGGGATGGAATTTGAGTTTCCTGCATTGCAGGCGGTCTCCTGCATTTCAGGTGGATTCTTTACTGACTGAGCCACCAGGGAAGGCCCTCGTGTGTGTATCTGTGTGTCTGTATGTGTGATGTGTGTTTGTAGGTACAACATAGAGGTTGAGAGTATGACCCTGGAGGTACCCACCCACCTGGCTTCAATTTCCTGTCCTGTTCCTTATAGTTGAGTGACATCGGCCACTTTTCTGATCCTCTCTGGGCAGTAGCTTTTTCCTTTGTAAGCGCAAGAATAGCAGTGCCTTTCCCACAGGGTTTGTGTAACAATTACCTGGTTAGTACAGGTGAAATGTTGAACACAGCATCTGTTGTACAGTTAAGAATTCAATAAGGGCTATTGTTATTGCTGTTATTATCATTATTATGAGGTGGAGGGTCACCACGTATCCCTCTATCTCAGGATCAGCTGTGTAATTGCAGGATCCAGTGCAAAAGGGAAATGCGGGGAGGACCCTTTGTATAAAATGATTAAGGAATTGCCGGGTGTTGACAGCAGCACATTGCACCGAGGGGGAACCTTGTGTGGCTGCGCAGGTCCCAGGGTCACGACGCTGCTGGCCCTGTTCATTGAAGGGAGAACAGAGAGGCAAGCCCTGACCTGTGCAGGGTACAGCCTGTTCTCTGCCGCTGACATCCCTCAAAATGATGAGTCACATTGGACAGCTGTTGCTTTTCCTCCTTTTCCTTCCAGATTGAGACAATGGAAGAACTTAATGTGGCAAATACAATCTTTGCCCTCAATTTCTTCAAGCATCTGGCAAACACAAGCGCCAACACCCAGAATATTTTCTTCTGTCCCTGGAGCATCTCCTCCACCGTGGCCATGGTCTACCTGGGCGCCCGGGGCAATACTGCAGACCAGATAGCCCAAGTAAGTTTCTGTTGAAGTTCCCAGTTGGGACTGAAGGATTCCTGAACTGAATTGTGGAACTGATCTGATTATATGCTTGCAGTATCTGGACTATAACAAAGGCAGCAGCTTGTGGGATCTTAGTTCCCCCACCAGGGATCGAGCCCGTGCCCTCAGCCATCATCACAAGCCATTACAACACATCTTACTTAGATTCAAATCTATAAAAGAGACAGATTTTATCTATCTAAAAACCCTCAGTGGTTGATATGGCAGGAGGATTACTAGAGTTTCTTATCCTGCAATGTTAGAAATAGTTAATAGTGACCATATCTGACATCTGATAAAGTTTATATTTTTTCAAAGGATTTGTGTGCTTTATCTCTTACGGGTTTTCAGACAAGTGTCACTGATGGATGGATAGTGGGGCTGAAGCACTTTTCCCAGGGGTTCCTCTGGTTTCTACCCTCTCATCTCAGGCTCTTTCCATTTATGTAAAGAATTCCTTTTAGTGGCTTTAAGAGAGTGCTATGAAGAGAAGAAAAATTATTCCAGAGCTTGGTCTCCACACTCAGGGAGGGGCACAGAGAGCAATGTGACTTCAGAGGGCCTCGGCCAACATGCTCCACCTCGTGAGCTCATGTCAACAAAATGGGGCTGACGAGATGGCCAGTCGCCAATGTCGAGGTGGTCAGGGGTGGGACACCATGGTGGGGGATTTCTGTCAGGGCCGCTGGCCTCCTTCCTTGGTGAATGGACACCAGGTCAGTCAGGGGACCCTTTCATTGAGTCTGGGACTGTGGAAATACATTGAACTACTTTACCTGTACACGGCAATCAAACTATGGGATGAATGCAGGGCTATTAAAATTCACATGACCCTTCATGTCAATGGAGGGCAAAAGCCACTACAATATTCTAAAGTAATTAGCCTCCAATTAAAATTAATTAATTAATTTTAAAAAATTCACAGGCTCCTGTCTTCCCTGGGTCTGTGACCAGACGAGGTAATTATAACATTAAGATTCTTTCCTAGTCCCATTTATATAGACGTTAGCATTGGATGCTCTGAACACAAGCTCTGGTTTCCCACTAGTGGGAAACTGCTAGATGCTGCTTTCAGTCACACCAAAACGCTGCTGGCTACTGTTGGGTTTCTCCTGAGAATTGCACCTGAGTGTGTGAATACAAACAGATGGTTACAGTCTTCCAGGTACATGGTGATCCATTTAAGGCAGGACTTGTTTGGAGCGGCTCACACAGAGTGTTAGCCAATCTCACCGCAGGAAGAGAAAGGATGGGAGCTTCACTGTCTGTGTTTGTGGCAGTTTAAATACAAAGACTTATGACAAAGCCCCGTTGCTCAACTCTCTGGTACCAGCCACATTTTGCAAAACTCCTTCCCCTTTATTTTCTTTGCCTTGAAAAAAAAAGTAAAGGCAGTGAACTCCATTAAAAACTTTAGAAAACATCAAGGACTTCGTTTTTTATTTTTATTTAGTTTTTGGCCATGCTGTGAGGCATGTGGAATGTTAGTTCCCTGAGCAGGGCTTGAATCCATGCCCCCTGCATTGGAAGCATGGAGTCTGAACCACTGGACCACCAGGGAAATCTTTTTCAAATGTAAAGGAATCAGAAGTTTTTGTTTTTGTTTGTTTTTTTGAGGACAAATGCCAAACAAAGTGCTCTAGGTGCTAAAAGTAAAAACCTTGATTTTGATGCCAGAGGAAAAGTAACTTATTGATCACTCGGGATACAACACAGTTTTTCTGTGTTTGGAAAGTATTTTCTGCAAATGGGACAAGGATTTTATATGCTACATGGGAAGATTCTAAAATTCAAAGGCAAATTGGCTTAATTCTCTACCAAAAAAGAGGAGACACTCTTTGGTTTGGAGGTGAAAGCCTAGACTTTGGGGACAGACCTGCCCCTCTTTGGTTGATGGCTTTGCCACTTACTAGGTGTGTAAGTGAAGACATTTAAACGCTCTGAGCCTCAGCTTTCTTGTTTTTTATTTTATTTTTTAAGAACAGCTTTGCTGGTCTATAATTCACATTTCATAAAATTCACCCATTTAAAGTTTACAATTCAGTAGTTCTTAGCATATTCACAAGAATTGAGCAGCCATCACCACAATCTAATTTTAGAATATCTTCATCTCCCCTAAAAGAAACTGTGCGGTCTATGGCTATACCACCCTGAAACCTCCTGATCTTGGAAGCTAGACAGGTCTGGGCCTGGTTAGTACTTGGATGGAAGACATTCTGTACCTATGAACTATATTAATTTGATCATACGTAATGTGGATGGTTAACCACATATTTTGTACATTAGTTGCAGACCTCTCAAATACCATTTGATAACTCAAAAGAGTCTAGTGGTAACTGCTTTATTTTTTAAATGTGAATGAAAATGTGTATCGGGCAAGATGGGTATGAAGATTACAGTTAACTGGAGAGGTACATGGTGGAACTAATTGTTTTCTTAGCTGATAGTTACAATGTTTCATCCAGGCATCTGAATGTTTTAGGAATTTATCCACAGAATACAAAATCATGTGAGGTAGGTGCTCTGATTACCATACTCACTTTACAAGAAAATCAGGGCAGGAAGAAGCCACACACAGTTGGGAACAGGTGTAGCTGGTAAAGCTGGAACAGTTGTAGTGGGAAAAAGGCTAAATAGAATAAATAGATACTCTCTTACAGAGCACAGACAATGTGAGATTTGCCAGAATATTTTTACCCAGCTCTTATCTTTAGGATAAGGCCACAGACTGGCCCAGGGCAGGCCGCCTCTCTGGGCAGGGTGCCTGCCTCAGCCTGGCTCAGGGTCATTTCACATCCCCCACACCTGCAAGGACTTTTGCTGTACCCCAAGAGGGCTTCAGTGCTGCCCAGAGACCCTGACTTACGGGTCAACTTCCTTAAAAGGCAGGACAACCAGAGAAGCTCTAATACAAAATATTCCCGCTTGTGCAGCAGCAGTCAGACCGCTTCTTTTCAAAGAGTATTAGGTAGGAACTTATAATATATGATCTGAAGAGCAGAGAAAAACCCCAGAAATCCTAACACCTCTCCTTCCAGCCTAGAAATTCACCATCTGCTGGAAAAGCTTGCATTCCTTCCCTTGGCAGAACGTCCACCATCAAACGCATTTACCAATAAGCTCCTCCCTGCCTGGGGCCCTATGGGACTGGGACCCAAGAGATGCTGGAGGTGGGTGTGGGTGGGTAGCAAGGCCAAGCTGAGGAGTCTATAATATTGGAGAGAGGACCTGAGCACCCTCTAGGGCAAGTCTGCACCTGCCAGCTTCATTGTTAGCTGGATCTGCCACTTACAGCATAAAGAAATTCACATTGGGACTTCCTGGTGGTCCAGTGGTTAAGACTCTGTGCTCCCAATGCAAGAGGGCCCAGGTTTGATCCTTGGTCGGGGAACATGTGGAAACTAAAGATGCTGCCTGCCTCAACTAAGACCAGGGGCAGCTAAATAAATCCATAAGTGAAAATAAATATTTTTTAAAAGAAATTCATATTGTCATCTGACTCCTGCCATCTGTCCCCAACATGGACAGAAGTGGGGAATTTCTTCATGTGTAAATAACATTTGTGCAAATGTTTTAGGTGATCCCTGGTAATACTGAGCAACCTGTTTTTGTGCTTAAGCTAGCTGTGGCTGCTAATTTTTGACAGATTAGAAGGGTATACAGGGCTTCCCTTATAGCTAAGTCAGTAAAGAATCTGCCTGAAATGCAGGAGACCCTGGTTCAATCCCTGGGTTGGGAAGATCCTCTGGAGAAGGAAATGGCAACCCACTCCAGTATTCTTGCCTGGAGAATCCCATGGACAGAGGAGCCTGGTGGGCTACAGTCCATGGGGTCGCAAGAGTCGGACATGACTTAGCGTCTAAACCACCACAGAAGGGTATATCATGTAAGGCCACTGAATAGAGAGATGAAAGGTCAGGAGTTAACCGTGTTACTTCTTTCAAGGCAATTTACCAGTTGGGTGATAATTTAACTAAAATGTTATAAATCATCTCATAATAAAAAAAAAATTGTCAAAATGGCCAGTATTTGAATTAGTATAAAATAACTCATGCTAATGCCTATGAAGGGAATCTCACTGACTCATATGAAGAGCCACTATGCTTGTTGCCCACACACAAAAGCAGGGAACTAAACATAGGACCCCTACGAGGTAACTGACAACCATTGGTTTAAAAGCAAAATAATGCAGCAGAAAAATATACCTAATTTTCTCAAATTCCAATTTTAGGTGCTTCAGTTTAACCAAGTTGGAGTCCACGAAGGCACCCCAGTGACCCCACAGAGCCTCACCAGTTGTGATTTCATGCAGCAGATCCAGAGGGACACCTATCCTGATGCTATTTTGCAGGTATCTGACTCATCCGTTCCTAGTTCTTTTATATTTTGCTTCCAGAAACTTCTTATTATAAAGTCACAATATTTATGAAGAAACCTAGTACAATGTCCACCTTTCACAGTAGAAAACTAAGACTCACAGTCCTTGAGCAAATACCCTATGGTCACTCTGATAAGGAAGAGCAGAGATGGGGTAGATTCCAGGCTTTATGACTTACAGATCAAGACTGTTTCTAAATTCTGCTGCATCAATCTGCCATTGGTTAGGTATGTATAATTTATTCTAAAGCCATGGTAGAGACTCATAGAATACATGTGTGAAAGTAGATTTCCAGAGTAAGGGGTGACAAGTAATTGAGGAATGGAGATGGCCAGGCTTGATGACTTCATGAGAGATCTCTGACCTTCACATATCCTTTATCTCCTCTCTGTCTATCTATCTAGGGCTTCCCCGATGGCTTAGTGGTAAAGAATCCACAGGCAATGCAGGAGACATAAGACATGTGGGTTCAGTCCCTGGATGCGAAGATCCCCTGGAGTAGGAAATGACAATCAACTGTAGTCTTCTTGCTTGAAATATCCCATGGTCAGAGGAGCCTGGTGGGCTGCAGTCCAAAGAGTCGTGTAGAGATGCACTCAACTATAGTACTGAGCATGAGCACACATCTACACTGTCTATTGTCATTTATGATCATCATCTACTATCTATCTGTCATCCATTCATCTAATCTATCTCAGGTTAATATCTTTTCCCAGTAATTCACTTCCTTAAACACCAACCATCCATCTACATTATAAGAGCCTGGTGTAGATGGGCTCCTATTGGTAAACGACTTCCCCAATCAGACCCCTGAGTTAGGTCATCGGGAGACACCTCTCACAGGTTCCTTCCTGGGAATGCTGATGCTCCCCCTGCCTGTCGCCCAGGGAATTACAGGCTCAAGATGGAGAGAGGTCCTCTTCTGCCAGGTCTGAGTGGACCGCTGGTGGTCCATCTTCAGGGCTCTGACCTCGGCTTCACCCAAGCCTTTTCTGTGACTAAGACCTGTGTCTGTCATCATGCTTGAAAACTTCAGGTGGGGGATTGGAATTCCCCTCGATTTTATGTTTTCTAAACTCCAGATTTTCCATTGCACAGACTACTCCTTAATTACGCCATGGGACTTGTTGAAGTCATATACATTTTTAAAGAACATGTTTAATGTTACATTTTAATATAATAAAAATTGCTTAGAGACTTTATAGTTTAGGTAAAGTATCAAAGGAGCCTGACTTTTCCTAGGATCTCAGTTCTGTCAAAGTTAAATCCAATCCATAGGCAGAGAAATATCTGAAACAAGTCAAAAATTATAAGTTTTAATGTACTACATCCATATGAACAGTATTTCATCATAATTACCTCCAAAGTGACAGAAAAAAAAGTATATTTTAATATAGCATTTTATTGATATCCTAGAAAAAAGTACTATTGCTTCAGAAATATCTTGTTTAGGAGTCCTGAGTTATATAAAACGAATCCCTCCTTTTCCTTTTAAGGCACAAGCTGCCGGGAAAATCCATTCATCCTTCCGTTCTCTCAGCAACGCCATCAACACGTCCACGGGGGAGTATTTATTGGAAAGTGCCAATAAGCTGTTTGGAGAGAAGTCTGCAAGATTCAAGGAAGTGAGTGAAACCTGCAATTTAAATGGCAGGGCCGCAAACTTGCAACCGAGGTCACTTTCAAAGCTGTTTTCTCTGATTCATTCCCAGTAGGTCAGAATTCCACTCGGGCTCGCTATGGCTCCCCGAGGCCATGGGACAAGATCCAACGCAACTATGCTTACGCTCCCTCCATGGGTGCTTCCTCTTTCTACTGTAAAAACCTCACATGTCAAGTCACAAGTCAGGAGGAAGGCACAGCTATTCCCAGAACCGCTGAACCCACACCCAACCTCTCCTTCTGTACCCTGTTCATAATGCAAAGTATGCAGAACAAATGCAGTCGGGACTGGGTTGGGGTGGGTGGCAGTCAAGAGAGCGTATAATCAGCCCCCCGCCCCGCCCCCCAGCCAACCTCCCTGCTACCCATTCTTCAGGCTCCCCAATCTTGACAGGAAACCTGTAATTTACAGTTACACCATGGCTAGTTGGGTAACCAGAAGAAGGGCATGGCAACCCACTCTAGTATTCCTGCCTGGAGAATTCCATGGACAGAGGAGCCTGGCGGTCCACAGTCCATGGAGTAACAAAGAGCTGGACACGACTGAGCGACTAATACTTTCACTTTCACGTGCTGGATGTATATTCTGTATGATCTTTGTCATTATTGTTTTCACTTTAAAGGAATACATGCAGCTTTCCAAGAAATACTACTCTACAGAACCCCAGGCTGTGGACTTCCTAGAATGTGCAGAAGACACCAGAGAAAACATTAATTCCTGGGTCAAGACCCAAACCAAAGGTAAAACCAAGGAAATAGTTTCTGTTCTTCTTTCCACATAGAAAACTTTGATTTTTTTTTTTTAAGTCCTTAAACTTAGCCCTTACTCCCATCCTTAGTTATTTTAGCTAATGTAACCTGATATTTGTTGAGCTTTGTGGTGTTTTAAGTGAGAAAAAAAATAACCGAGGCATCCTAATAAAAGATATATATTCAATACTTCAATAATCTGGTTTTGGATTATTACCTTAGAATAGAATGTAAGAAGAGGCAGATCTTTTCTAACATAGGAAATATCAGTATTGAAATAAGTGTGACTTTATGTTCACTGTGAACAAAAAGAACAAACGCACAATTGTCAACTGAGTAATTGGTGTGAGAATACCAGCAATAGAAAAAGGAGAGATCATAAAATTTTAACTCTTTCTTCTATGGCACCCTTCAGAGTCAGCATGTTGTCAAGTTCTTTCAGCCCCTGCTTTATCTCTCATTGATCATCTAAGCTATTTCTACCTCTGTTACACATGTACTCAGTTCTTAACTGACTCATCCAAGATTCCACTATCTGGTAGTGGTACATCTGGGGTTCCCTCTTCTTCTGAGCCTTAGTCTAATTCTGGAATTCTTTAATTTAATGTTGAAAGAGTTTGATAACTTAATGCAGAAAACATATTTTTACTTATCTCCTATGTTTATTTAGTTACTTTTAAATAAGTTTTTATGGAGAGGGAGGTGGGAGGGGGGACCGGGATGGGGAATACATGTAAAAAAAAAAAAAAAAAAAAGATACACTATGGTTGTGATAAAAAAAAAAATAAATAAATAAATAAATTTAAAAAAAAAAAAAAATAAATAAGTTTTTATTTGGCTATGTTGGGTCACAGTTGTGGCATGTGAAATCTAGTTCCTTCACCAGGGATTGAATCTGGGCCTCTGGCATTGGGAGCATGGAATATTAGCCACTGGACTACTAGGGAAATCCCTACATCCTATGTTTAAAACATTATTTCAAGCCATAGTATGCTATCCTGCTTTCTTAGCTACCATAATAGAAAAAAAACACTTGTACGAAGTTCTGTAGGATTGAAAAAACGTATTATTGTTTCTCTAAAATTAGTTGACCTACTTCAGTTCTTCATTTCTAGATTTTTAAATTACTGCTTTAAAAGACTGACACATCACTGACAAAAAGAAAGCGGAGAAAGTAAAGATTTAACTGAAATGAAAATCAAAGCGGATTGCAAAATTAAAGAGACACATGAAAGCTTTGCTTTTTTGGAAACAGCAAGAATTTCCCTTCTTTCTAAGCATTTGTGGTGAATGGCTATAAATCAGTCAGTGGAATTGCAAAAATGCCAAATAGTCATTTGGACTGATTGTTTTACCAATTTTTATAGTAATTTGAGAAAAAAATTTCTTTTTTCCTGGTTATGATCAAATACTATGTGTCACAAAGTTAAATAAAGTCCCAGCAGATTTCCAAGTAGTAACCAGGAATTTTAGTTGCTAGGGGGTATACTGAATGAAGATATTGAATAGCTATACTGAAACTGGTCAGACTACAGTGACCTTTTCGCTTGAGTCTTGTGTCTGTCAGTAGAAATGGAAGATGGTGGAATTCTGACCAGCTCTCAAGCATTGTGACCTTGTAAAGGTTATTAATATCTCACTATAGTGTACATGTGTGTTGTTGTTCAGTTGCTAAGTCTTGTCTGACTCTGCCACCCCATGAATTGCAGCATGCCAGGCTTCGCTGTCCTTCACTATCTCTTGTAGTCTGCTCAAACTGATGTCCATTGAGCCAGTGATACCATCTAACCATCTCATCTTCTGTTACTGCCTTCTCCTCTTGCTCTCAATATTTCCAGCATCAGGGTCTTTTCCAATGAGTTGACTCTTCCCATCAGGTGCAAAAGTATTGGAGCTGCAGTTTCAGCATCAGTCCTTCCAATGAATATTCAGGGTTGATTTCCTACTTGTGTAAAATGACATAATACTCCCTTACTAGAGTGGTTGTGAGGTTAAATAAAATAGTGTGGTTGAAATATTGCAGAGCAGGTAATTCACTATAAATGGGCTGTTTCTTAAACCAACTTTAAAAAAAAAAATCACATTCAGATATTATCATTTCCAGGGACCTTTTGGGCTCAATCATTCACTCCCTTCTCTGTGTTGTCCTCTGCATTATTCAGCTCTCTTATAGAACTTAGCACATTTTTTTTCCTAAATGATTTAGAATGTCACTCCAATATTCTAAGCCTCCCCAGGACAATTCTTCCTTTATTACTTAATGGAGTCTGTGCTATTCCTTATGTAGGTCTACCAAAACTTCCAAAACACTGTTTTTGGGTGAATCAATGAGACCCATGGGCTATCTCGACCAGATTTAGAAGCAGCCCTGGTGACTTACTGGGGAAATGCACTATCATATTCCTTGTTAGTGTTAGTCACTAAATTGTGTCCATCTTTTTGCGATCCCATGGACTGCAGCCTGCCAGGCTCCTCTGCTCATGAAATTCTCCAGGCAAGAATACTGGAGTGGGTTGCCATTCTCTTCTCCAAGGGACCTTCACCACCCAGGAACCGAACTCTGGTCTCCTGCATTGCTGGCATATTCTTTACCATCTGAGCCACCAGGGAAGCCCATTATATTCCTTGAATCTCTTTTTCACTCCCATCTGAATGAACTAATTTCATATAACTACAAAGCTTTGAGAAAACAGTATAAAAGGAATGTAAAATTTTCTGGGACTTCTCTGGCGGTCCAGGGGTTAAGACTCTGCACTCTCAAAGCAAGGGATACAGGTTCAATTCCTGGTCAAGGAAATAAAATCCTGCATGCAGCACAGCGTGGCCAAAGGAAATAAATAAATAAAAGAAACTTTAAAAAGGTTTTCCAAGTCTGATAGTAATTCTAAATCTTAATTATATTACTTCTTCATTTTCCCTTGAATTTTGTAAACCTGAAAAATTTGGTCTGGGTTTTACTTATGATTTAAATAAATTAGAAAAATTTGAATGTGATATCAGCATCTCTGCAGAGTGTGATAAATGTGGATGCTGAGCTTGATAGTGACTCAAAAGATTAAAGAAATCATAATGACTTCATAATTGTTAATCATGAAACCTAAACATATATCATATCTTCTGTAGGCAAAATCCCAAACTTGCTACCTGAAGGTTCTGTTGATGCAAACACCAAGATGGTCCTGGTGAATGCTGTCTACTTCAAAGGAAGGTGGAAGACTCCATTTCAGAAGAAATTAAAGGGACTTTATCCTTTCCGTGTGAACTCAGTATGAAACAATGACAACAAATTGAATTTTCTTAACATAGAATTTAGGGCTTTTGACAAAATAGAGACAGGATAATTAGGGACCACTCACCAATACCCATACATGATTTGCTATTAATAGTTACGTTATGCACACTGGATAGTTTATTAACTCTTTCAGGTTATTGAATAACACTCAGTAATTTTCTGAGGGGCCTTATGAGTAGTGGTGAAGACCATGGGCTTTACAATTACACAATTCTGGACTCACGTTTAGGCTCTACTACTGACCAACTATGATGTTGCTTGTGGTTCATTCATTCCATTTTTTGATTTGTGAAACTAGGATGATAATTTCCAACTCAAAAGGTTGTTGTAAGAATTCAATGAGATTTTTCAGAGTTCTTGACCCCTCATAGGTACTGAACAAATGTTTCAGTGTTATTATAATTGTCCATCTTATTATTAGTGGATACTACTTTGAAAAAAATGAAATAGATCAGAATCACTGTGAGAGCATGCAAATAATGTTTTTATTTTTAAAATATATTTTGACATTTCTAAACAAATTTCAAAACAAATTTTTAATTTTTGAAAAGCATATTTCTTCAGCATGAAAGCATAACCCATTCTCTTTTATGTCTGATTGTAAATCTTTTGACATCTTACTATCAACTTTCATGTTTTACTTTTTAATTACTTTAGACTCAGCGCAAATCAGTAGAGATGATGTTCCTGAATGAAAAGCTAAACATTGGATACATAGCAGACCTGAAGGTCCAGATTCTAGAACTCCCATATGTTGGAAATGTCAGTATGTTCCTGCTTCTTCCAGATGAAATTGCTGAATCCTCTACGGGCTTGGAGTTGGTAAGAATTCCAGCTTCCATTGTTTTAAACTTCTGGGACTAAACGCACCTTTGCACATGTTGTTGTTGTTGTTGTTGTTATTTAGTCGCTAAGTCACGTCTGACTCTTTGAGACCCCCTGGACTGTAGCCCACCATGCTCCTTTGTCCATGGGACTTCCCAGGCAAGATTACTGAAGTGGGTTGCCATTTCCTTCTCCAGGGAATCTTCCCCATTCAAGGATCAAATCCATGTTTCCTGCATTGGCAGGTGGATTCTTTGTCACTGAGCCACCTGGGAAGCCCTTGCATATACCTACACCTGAGGAAATGGTGTGCAGTTTGAATATGTGAACTGGTTTGAGAGGAACTGTGCCAGGTTTCCCACTGTCATTCATAAGCCTTAAACACATGTCATACATGCTATCTTCTTGCAAAATTTTTACCAAACTATTAAATTTTAATATCACCTACAGTATAGTGAAGTCATTGGTTGCTAACATTAGAGGTTGTTGTCCTTCTCTGCTAAGCACTCATTGGTTTTATGTTTTGGATTCGTAGCTGGAAAGTGAACTCACCTATGACAAACTCAACAAGTGGCTCAGCGAAGACACCATGGCTGAGGATGACGTGGTGGTGTACATCCCCGAGTTCAAATTAGAAGAGCGTTATGAACTCAAGACCATTCTCACAAGCATGGGCATGGGCGATGCCTTCAGCCGGGGCCAAGCCAATTTCTCAGGCATGTCAGGAAAGAATGACCTGTTTCTGTCCGAAGTGTTCCATCAAGCTTCTGTGGAAGTGAACAAAGAGGGCACTGAGGCTTCTGCCGGCACTGGGGCCATCATGACAGGGAGAACAGGTCACGGAGGCCCACAGTTCGTGGCAGACCATCCTTTCCTCTTCCTTATCATGCACAAGATAACCAAGAGCATCCTCTTTTTGGGCAGATTTGCCTCACCCTAAATTGAAAGCTTCTGTTTCTGCATAGGAATTTGTAAAATGAGTGTAAGCCTCAGGATTTCTGCCAGTGCTGAAACTTCTCTGCATGTTTCTGTTTTTCTGAAAACCTTTTATTACATGCTAACTAGAAACACAGACATAGCGTGACATCCGTGAATCATAACATTACCCCCCTGTTAATCATTTGGCCTCCAAAAATGGGATGATATCTCATTTAGTTCTTTCTTATTCTCAGTTTATTTTATAGCATTAACTTTTACTGTATTATTTATTATTTTATATATTTTTTTATTATGGTCACTGTCTAGTATAGTTGATACATTTACATAAGCCAGTTATCACTTATTTTTCTTTCTAAGGCAATATATGTATTTTTGGGCTTCCCTGGTGGCTCAGAGGATGGAGAATCCACCTGCAATGCAGGATACCTGAGTTCGATCCCTGAGTCAGGAAGATCCCCTGGAGAAGGGAATGGCTACCCATTTCAGTGTTCTTGCCTGGAGAATTCCATTGACAGAGGAGCCTGGTAGGCTCCAGTCCATGGGGTTACAATAAGTCAAACATGACTTAGTGACTAAGCATGCATGCATATGTATTTGTTCTTATAATGAAGGATAAGTAGGTGGCCTTCCATGACCTTTTGTAATAGAAACCTAGAAGAAAGCATTGAACAACAGGGAAATACATGTTGTGTGCATTTCTAAACAAATGTCTAGCATTATATATCACATACAAGTGGCTGTAACTTATGTCAGGTTGCAAAAATACACAAAATAAACCTATTTTCACAAACCATTTGCTTGTTTACATTCTATTAGGTCTTTAGGTTATAAGACCTGCTTATCTTGTTTCTCAGAAATCAGGCATCACAGCTCATTTGTGAGAACCAAGCAAGCAGGCTAAAGGAGCCAAGGGAATAACCGACTGCTTTGCAAGGGGCCCCAGTGTTGGGGGCGGGGTGGAGTTGTGTGAAAAATTGATTAGAACCGCCTTCTCACAGCAGAAAAACGTATAGCACTTCAAAATGATAGTTTGGGTCAGAGTTCTTTGGGGACCCCTGTATTCAAATCAGGACATCAGGAATAAACACCGAGTCTAGTGGTTGCAGACATAGCATCAAGGTGATAATCACTGAGTTGACAGAGAGTTCAGAGGGGTGGGAGATGAGCTGGGCACAAAGGTGGAAGGAAACGTAAGTTGACTTATTTTAAGTGTGTTTGCTTCAAATAGCACTGAACACTTTTGAGTGGATCAGCAGCAGAGAAGAACATAATTTAAGTCTTGAGAACTAAGGAAGATCTGAGGTTTAGGGAGTCTGACCTGGCTGCAGAAGTGTGGCTGGATCCTGAATATGCATTCCAGGAATTGATGCCTTTATGATGAAAGCCAGGGATGGATGACCCATTGGAGCACGGTGGCTAAAGAGGTAGCCTCACGACTTTGACTTAACTGCACCAAAATCCCAGTTCAAATACTTATGAGTCCTCTTAATTATAAGCTTGGAATGATGCTTCCTCATGCTTCAGTTTTCTTTCAATGTAAACTAGGGAAAACAGTGCTTTTCTCATAAGGTTGCTCTGCCAGTGGAATGAATTCACATCTAACAAGAAATTAAACAAATGCTTAGCATATAAATACTAGTGATTATAGTTATTTTCTTAGTTGGCAATAAAACTGGCTCACTGTCAACTGATCAAATATAGCATCCCAGAAAATTATTCAGTTAATTTTTTTAAGGCTTGAATTATGGTGTATTTCCTCAAAATCAGATATGCTTAAAAATTATAAGTTCTTCCTTGCATTCTCCTACTACTTTTAGATTCATTTAAAAAATGTATTTTATCAATTCATTCAGCAAGTTAATAAGTAATAACTTTCTGAATCATTGTGAGGTTCTGAGTCTTAAGATATATATCACCTTTATTACTGAATTAGAGCATGAGCATAGAACTCTAGGTTCAAAGTATTCTTCACACTTTGTTGTTGTTCAGTTGCTAAGTTGTGATCAGTTGTGTCTGACTCTTTGCTACTCCATGGACTGCAGCATGCCAGGCTTCCCTGTCCTTCACCATCTCCCTGAGCTTGCTCAAACTCATGTCCATCCAGTAGGTGATGCCATCCAACCATCTTATCCTCTGTTGCCCTCTTCTCCTGCCTTCACTCTTTCCCCGCATCAGGGTCTTTTCCAATGAGTCAGCTCTTCTCATCAGGTGGCCAAAGTATAGGAGCTTTAGCTTCAGCATCAGTCCTTCCAAAGAATATTCACGGTTGATTTCCCTTACAGTTGATTTGCTTAATCTCCTTGCAGTCCAAGGGACTCTCAAGAGTCTTCTCCAGCACCACAATTCGAAAGCAATAATTTTTCAGCGCTCAACCTTCTTTATGGTCCAACTCTCACATCCGTATATGACTATTGGAAAATCCATAGCTTTGACTCTAGGGATCTTTGTGGACAAAGTGATATCTCTGGAGTTTTGTTTCTTGTAGTTTTAATAATTTTATTTTTGTTTTTGATGCAGTTATTAATATTTCATCACATTATGAGTCCTTTAAAATGGTTTTCAAAATTTAGTTTATTCATCAGGAGACGTTTTCCATTTGGAAACCTGTGTCTTGGTTTAGTTCTGGGAAACTCTCAGCCAACACTATGGCCTGAATATTTATTACCCTCACTCCAATACAGATGTTGAAACCCTAATCCCTGATGGAATGTTGTTTTTAGGGGGGCCCTTTGGGAGATAATTGGGATTAGAATTGGTCATGAGGGTGTGTCCCAGGATGTAATTAGTGTTCTTATGTAACCTGGAAGGGTTAATTTGGAATTCACAATGAATCTGCTCTGTGACTTTAACCCTTATATTGCTGATTTTGTTATTATAGACATACACAATGGTCTGCCTCAGGGAGCTAAGCTGACTCTGCCCACCTGTGAAGGACTGTGACATTCTTAGATTCATTGTGTTGCCTTAAATTCTTTATGTGGCAAATGGTGGGGACCTAGCTTGTCTGCCGCTCACTGGTGGGGCTCAGATATTAACATTTTGGGAGGCGGGCATCGTAGGCAGATGTGGCATCTTTGCTTTCTGATGACAGGAGATGTTCCATTTCACACCACCCATGAAATCACAATGCTTTTGAGCTGTGGTGTTGGAGAAGATTCTTGAGAGTCCCTGTGAGCCAGGAAGTGAGCCCTGACCAAGCACCCAATCACACTTGCACCCTCATCTCAGACCTGCAGCGTCCAGAACTGTGAAAAGTGACTGTTCTCCAGGCACCCAGTCAGTGGTGTTGTTACCTGACCAACGGTTGAATAAGACAGCCACTACCCACACAATTGTCTGGGCTCCATCCTATCTCCTCTCTTCTTCTGGATTCCCATTTGAATAATACTGATGTACCTAGAGTTCTTTTTTTATTTTCTAACAGATTTTGAATACCTAATACATTCCTGCAATCTTAACAATAAATATTGCAGAAACAAAACAAAAGCTAGAGCAACACTCTCCCTTTACCCCTGTTCTCCATTCATATAGCCCCATTCCTTCAAGCTCAGTGGGAATATTGGTACATATTGCTAACATACACAAGGCAGGCCACAACTAACAATGAATAAACAAATGAGCAAAATTCTGCTGATAACATTATATTGTTGACTTAGGATAGCATTACCTCTTTCCTTGTCACTTCCAAACAGTCATTAAAAACAATGCAAAACCAAAATTTTATCAATGTAGCTAGTATGTGTGTGCTGGGCTGTCACTTCAGTCTTGTCCGACTCTTGGCAACCCCGTGGACTGTAGCCCGCCAGGCTCCTCTGTCCATGGGATTCTCCAGGCAAGAACACTGGAGTGGGTTGCCATGCTCTCCTCCAGGGGATCTTTCTGGCCCAGGGATCCAACCTGCATTTCTTTCCTGAATTGGCAGACGGTTCTTTACCACTGGCGCCACCTGGAAAGCCCGCTAGTGCCACCCGCGAAGCCCATAGCTAGTGTCCAGACCGGCTCGACAAGCAGGATTTCCGAAAGCGTGACACAGTGAGAGAATGAGAAACAAGACAAAAGAATTCAGAAAAAAGCGAGGATCAGGGACCAACACCATTCCAAGGTGAAGGCGCCAAAACTGAATCCAAGCCAGCTTTGTTATACTTTCAGCTGTGAATGAAAGAATGTGCAGGGAGTTAAGCTATAACTCATGTTGCCTTCAGGGCCAAAGAACAAAATGATCATTAATCATTGAGTAATTAGGAAACAGTAATCAATAACAAATCAGTAACTAAGACTAATATTCTTATCTATAGATTTTCCACGAGATATGTAAAACATGTGATTCTGAGAAGCCGGTTGAGAAACAGTCTGGGGTTGGTTTTTCGACCCCAGGATCATATCTTGTTTTCAAGATTGTGAACTGTTCCCTCTGGATTTGTTTCAAGAGTCTCATGCCTTATAGCATCCAGTTTATCAATAATTATAAATTTCTTTTGTGGCCCTTGCTGGGACCTTCTTTTCTTTTATTTTTCCTGTCGCCTATAAGCTAGTATATCAATATATAAAGATTCCATCTTATTATTTATCTATTTTTGGCTGTGCAGTGCAGCCTCTGGGACCCTCATTCCCTGATCATGGATTGAACCCAGGCCCCCTGCAGTGGAAGTGCAGAGTCTTAAACAGCAGACTGCCAGGAAAGTCCCTAAAGATTTTAAACAAGAGATAAGTGAGAAAAGAATCTGGAGAAGGCTTGTGAGAAAACATGAATAAAACTTAGTCTGTGGTTTTAGAGAAGGTGAAACTATTTCTTGTCTGATCCCCCCCAAATCAATATGGATACATTGCATGTAATGCAAATAACTAAATCTATGCAGTGATATAGCCTGAGTTACTCTCTGGTGGACTACTGGCAGTCAAGATGGACAATCCCTCTATCTGGAGCCTCCATATGATGCATGGGTGTGTGTGTGCATGTGTGTGCTAAGTCACTTCAGTTGTGTCCGACTCTTGGCAGCCCTA